CTCCTCCTCCTCCTCCTCCTCCTCCTCCTCCTCCTCCTCCTCCCTCCTCCTCCTCCTCCTCCTCCTCCTCCCTCCTCCTCCTCCTCCTCCTCCTCCTCCTCCTCCTCCTCCTCCTCCTCCTCCTCCTCCTCCTCCTCCTCCTCCCTCCTCCTCCTCCTCCTCCTCCCTCCTCCCTCCTCCTCCTCCTCCTCCTCCTCCTCCTCCTCCTCCTCCTCCTCCTCCTCCTCCTCCTCCTCCTCCGTCGACCCTCAGATGTTTCGACCTGTTCCCCAGGACCCGCTTGTCATCCCGAGCCGTTTCTGGACGGCCCCGAGGCCCGGTGCCGCCGCTGCCTCGGCAGGGGCTCCCCTCCCCAGACCCCCGACGCCTTGATTTGTTCACTACCACGTCGATCCCCAGAGGTCTCGACCCATTCCCCGGGACCGGCTTCTCGTCCCGAGTCGTTTTTGGACGCTCCCGAGGCCCAGTAAGGGCCCCCAGAGGCCGAAAAAGGGCGGACAACCTCCCGTCGTGATTTCTTCATGAACCGAGGGAGTCTGGGGGCTGTCTCGACGGGGCCCTCCTCCTCCTCCTCCTCCTCCTCCTCTCCTCTCCTCCTCCTCCTTCCTCCTCCTCCTCCTCCTCCTCCTCCTCCTCCTCTCCTCCTCCTCCTCCTCCTCCTCCTCCTCCTCCCCTCCTCCTCCTCCTCTCCCTCCTCCTCCTCCTCCTCCTCCTCCCTCCTCCTCCTCCTCCCTCCTCCTCCTCCTCCTCCTCTCCCCCCCCCCCTCCCCTCCCTCCCCTCCGCTCCTCGGCCCCGCGCGGGGCCGGCCGCCGCCGCACCCGCCGCCGAGGCCAGCGCGAGCGAGGCCGCCTGCCTGCGCCCCTGCGCGGGCGGCGCCTCCGCGCGCGCCGCCTCGAGGCTGCCGCCGCTCGGCGGCGGCCGCTCGGGGCCGCCGCGCGGCCGCGCCGGGCGCGCCACAAAAGCCGCGGCCGGGCCGCGGCGGAGCCACCTTGAGGGGCAACGATAGGGGCCCAGAGCCCCTCGGGCAAGGAAAACATCGCGACGGGAAGCTTTTCGCCATATTCGGCCTCCGGGGGGGCCCTCGCCGGGCCTCGGGACCGCCAGAAAACGACTCGGGAGGAGAAACCAGTTCCAGGGAAAGGGTCGAGAACTCTGGGGATCGACGTAATGAAAAAATTATCCCGGCAAAGCAACCTAACAGCGATGTGTAGAAGCATATCTGGAAGCATTGCCCTTGAGATTCATGTAGGAGTCCTGGTGTAGAATTCTGGTGTCCTCGCAGTCGCTCGTCCTCCTGCTCGTCCTCGCATGTAGGAGTCCTCGTCCTCCTCCTCCTCCTCCTGCTCGTCCTCCTTTTCCTGCTCCTCCTCCTCCTCCTCCTCCTCCTCCTCCTCCTCCTCCTCCTCCTCCTCGTGCTCGTCCTCGTCCTCGTCCTCCTCGTCTTGCTCGTCCTCCTCCTCCTCGTGCTCTTGCCCCTGCTCCTCCTACAGTTGGCTCCGGGCATTGAAAATGCGGCCCGGGAACAGAGTTCTGGAAATTCGAAGAGCACGAAGTGGACTACAGTTGGCTCCAGGCATTGAAAATGCGGCCCGGGAACAGAGTTCTGGGAACTCGAAGAGCACGAAGTGGCCTACAGTTGGCTCCGGGCATTCAAAATGTGGCCCAGGAATGGAGTTCTGGGAACTCGAAGAGCACGAAGTGGCCTACAGTTGGCTCCGGGCATTCAAAATGTGGCCCGGGAATGGAATTCTGGGAACTCGAAGAGCACGAAGTGGCCTACAGTTGGCTCCGGGCATTCAGAATGTGGCCGGGGAATGGAGTTCTGGGAACTCGAAGAGCACGAAGTGGCCTACAGTTGGCTCTGGGCATTCAGAATGTGGCCCGGGAATGGAGTTCTGGGACCTCGAAGACCACGAAGTGTGTAACTGTTGGCTAAAAAAGTCCCCGGCATCCTCCCCTGGATCGCGCCCAGACCCCCCTGGGGCGTCATGATGCTCTCTTTTGACCCTACTAGAAACCTATCAGTCTTCGCTGTTAGGTAATCATGACGTCGGGGGTCTGGGATAGGGGGGGACTGGCATGGGGGGCATGAATCGACCAAGAAGTGGCGCTGCATTGCCGATAGATCGGCGATCGGCACCCGATAGCCAATCCGCACGTTCCTGGGCAAGTTGGGGCTGTCGGGCCCCTGTCGGCGATCAATGGGCGATTGGGGGTCGATGCATCCCCCCCCTATGCCTATCCCCCCCCCCATCGCTGCCCCTGGCCACCGCAGCGGGTCGGCGCCGGTGCCGGCGGCCACCCCGAGCGAGGCGGCCGCGCCGAGGGAGAGCGCCAGCGCCAATGCGGCCAGCGGCGCGCGCCGCCTCGCCGCGGCGCGGCCGGGCGCGCCCGCGGCGCCCCGGGTGCTCGGCGGCGGCTTCAAGGATGGGGCCCCCAGAGCGATGATGGACCCAAAGAAGGACCCCTAACCCGTTGGGAGGGGGCCTGAGTTAGGAGGGCCAGGAACATTGGGGATAGGGGGTCTTTTCTGCAGATGTATCGAACCAAACCGCCAGATTTGTTGTCCCTAATGCAAAGACGGGGACCTCAATGAGGCCACGTCTTCACTGTGTTAGTAGGGTTAGGGGTTCTTGTATTCTCGATGAAACGAGGGACCTCAAGACATGCAGATCCAACCTGGGATCCCTTTCCCATCCTCAGTAGAGACCTCCCGCATATGGGTTCCGAGTGGATGGGGTCGAACCATCGTGCCGCATCGGCGATGCCTCGGAATAGCATCGGCAAGGCATCGGCAAGGCATCGGCACAGTATCGGCGCTGCATCGGCGCTGCATCGGCGCTGCATCGGCGATACACGGGGGGCGATGCGGCGACGACATCGACTCGGAGAAAACCGCATCCGCATCGAACCGCATCCCCGATGCATCGGCTGTGCGGCGCGATCCTTCGACCCCATCTGCTCGGACCCCTCTCTTGGTGTGGCCTGGACTTCGACCCGCCGATCTTTCGGGAGCGGCCAAGAGGGGGGTGTCCAAGAGGGGGGGGTGCAAACCATGACCGGCGGCATGTGCGCGGCCCAGCGGGGGGGCCAGGGACGTAATGAAACAAGAAGAGGCGCCATGAAATCTGAGAAAATATCATGGCCCTCGCCATGATATCCACCCCCCCCTAGTCATCACCCCCCTCTTTTCCGCCCCCGAATCTTGCGCGGCCCCATCTTTGACCCGCCGGTCTGCGTCTCCGCCGCACGCCGCCCGCGGCGGCCTCGGGGCCAGACGCGGCCACCGCGGCGGCGCCGCCGCCCAGCCGGCCGGGCATCCGCCGCAGGGCGGCGGGCGCCAGGGCCCCTGCGCGGGCGGGGCCTCGCGGCGGGGCGCGGGCGACAAGCGGCGGCGACGCGACGACGCCGACGCCACCGACGCCGACGCCGATGCCGACGACGGCCTCGGCGACGGCGGCAGCGGCGGCGAAGACACCCCCCAGGCGCGGAGGTGCCTCCTCCTCCTCCTCCTCCTCCTCCTCCTCCTCCTCCTCCTCCTCCTCCTCCTCCTCCTCCTCCTCATCCCCCCTTCGAACCTCTACCCTCTAACCCCCCCCATCCGCCTCCTCATCCTCCTCCCTCTCCCTGCAGCCACCTTCCCCGCCACCCGGGCATTGCCCCACGCGTCGGCCTCGCCAGGCCCGCGCGGCGCGGTGCCGCCCCCGCGCCGCGCCCCAAAGAGCTAGCGCGCGTCGGGAGAAGAGGAGGAGCGCGAGAAGGAGGAGGAGGAGGAGGAGGAGGAGGAGGAGGAAGAGGACGAGGAGCACGAGGAGCAGGAGGAGGAGGAGAAGGAGGGGGAGGAGCAGTAGGAGGAGGACAAGGAGGAGGACAAGGAGGAGGAGGAGGAGGAGGAGGGAGGGAGGGATGAGGTGAGAGCAGCCGCGAAGCGAGTTGACGAATCACAATTGCACAGCCGCCCCTAAATTACCCACGAAGAAGGCTCACCCGCAAGAGAAGGAGCAGGGAGGACGATGAAGGAGGCAGATGGAGGGAGGGAGGGACTACGCCGGCTGCCCACCAGCTGGGCCCTCGTCGCCACCGATCCCCATAGCCGCTGGTCTTCCTCGCCGCGTGTCTCCTGTGGGCAGCCTCGACGACGAGGGGTCCGACAAGGACGGCGAGGCGGAGACGTCTGTGGAGGATGGCGCCGTCTAGGAAAGGGAGGAGCGCACCCGTGAGGAGGAGGAACAGGAGGAGGAGGGGGAGGACGACGACGACGACGACGAGGAGGAGGACCAGGGAAAACCCAGGATGCATCAACGATGCTGCAATACACCCTTCCGCCCCAAGCCCCCTCCTCATAATTAGGTCCACACGGGCCTTTCTCTTCGCTGCAGGAAGCGCTCCTCTAAAAGACAAGCACCCAATGGGCCTGTCATTCGGGTGAGAGCCCCGCTTCGAAAAGAAACTGCCTTGCTTCCGTCTATGAAGGGGAACGGGAGGCAGGGGGGACCAGCCAAGAAAGAGGGAACATCGACCTGGAATCGGCAATACGTCGCCAAGACATCGGCGACAGGCCCCCGGTAGCGAATCCGCACGTTGGGCGGGGTGGGCTATCGGGCCCGCATCGGCGATGAGTGGGCGATTGGTGGCCGATGCACCCACCCCGGGGACGGAAAAAATGAGCACGATGCCCAACCACGAATGCTGTCCAAAGCCGACAGCGGCGGCTGTTGGGCAGGCGAGCTCCTGTTTCAAGTGGACAACGGCCGCGGCAATGCCGACCCCGGATCCCGCTCCAGAAGGAACAAGAACTGCTGCCCCAGACCCCCGACGTCATGATTTTTTCATGACGTCGACCCCCAGAGATCTCGACCCATTCCCCGGGACCGGTTTTGCATCCTGAGTCGTTTTTTGACGCTCCCGAGGCCCGGTGAGGGGCCCCAGAGGCCGAAAATTAGGAAAAACCTCCCGTCATGATTTTTTCATTACTCGAGGGGGTCTGGGGCTGATCTTTGTGCCCACTGCTCCCGTGCCCGTTTCGGCCCCACGAGTGCGTCCCCGAAGGCACGGCCCTTGCGCGCGAGGAGCCCCCCGCAAGGCCAAGGCGGGGAGCTCGGCAGGCCCTCGAGGGCACGCAGCGGGGTGGCCGCCCGCCACGCGGGCCACGCCTGTGCGCGGAGGGGAGGGAGGAGGGAGGCTCCTCCTCCTCCTCCTCCTCCTCCTCCTCCTCCTCCTCCTCCTCCTCCTCCTCCTCCTCCTCCTCTCCTCCTCCTCCTCCTCCTCCTCCTCCTCCTCCTCCTCCTCCTCCTCCTCCTCCTCCTCCTCCTCCCCCCTCCCCTCCTCCCCCTCCTCCTCCTCCTCCTCCTCCTCCTCCTCCTCCTCCTCCTCCTCCTCTTCCCCCTCCTCCACAATTACACAACATGAAACTACTCTCCTCTCTCCGCTGGTGACGCGAAGCGTCAAGAAATCTGGGACTTGACTGTTTGGACACGGGGCCCGAACATCCAGGTGTCGCGTAAAACAACACCACGGTCAGCTTGTTTGCAACCTCGTTATTCGGGGGTCCGCCCTCGGTTCCCAGGACCACCAAGTCACGACCTGCGACGAGAAAGCAGTCCTGGAAAAGGGGTCGAGAACTCCGAAACTGGGAACAAGGGAAGGAGGGAGGAAGGAAGGCGATTTCCCTCCTCCTCCTCATCCTCCTCCTCCTCCTCCCCAGGAGGGAAGAGGAAGGAGGGAGGATGGAGAAGGGAGCAGGAAAGAGGGGTGGAGGCCCCCTCCCGTCGCGTGCGCGGAGGCGTGGGCAGCCAGCACTCCAGTCCCCTGCCTCTCCTGTTCGCCGGGCCGATGACGCGGGCGGCGCGGCGACCTCACTTGGCCATTCGCGCGGCGCGGTCCTCGATGATGCTCAGCTTCTCCCCGTTGCCCTTCGGCAGAGAGATCCACGGCTTGCCGCCCGTGCCGATCACGAACACGTTCTGCATGCGGGTCGCGAACGCGTGCCCGTTGCTGTCCTTGACGTGTACAATCTCGAAGGAGCCCGGGTGGCGCTCGCGGTGGGTGATGTCGCCGACGCGGCCCATATTGTTCCCGCCGCTGATCATGACCTTCTGGCCAGGCTCGAACTTGAGATGGTCCTTGATCTTACCAGTGGCGATATCAATGCGCACGGTGTCGTGGGCCTTGATGTCCGGATCGGGGTAGCGAATCGTGCGCCCGTCATGGGTGATGGCGTAGGGGATGCCCTTCGGTCCACGCTCCACCTTCCTGACGCGTGCGAGCTTGTAGGAAGCCTCCTCCTTGGAAATCTTGTGCAGGCAGAACTTGCTCTTCGTGTTGTACAGTAGCCGGAAATTCTCCTTCGTCTTGTCGATCTGCACGACGTCCATGAACCCGGCCGGATAGAACATGTCCGTGCGGGTCTTGCCGTCCACCTTGATCAGGCGCTGCATGGTGATCATCTTGCACTCCCGGTACGTCAGCGCGTACTTGAGGCGCTCGCGCAGCAGAACGATGAGCGGCAGGCACTCGCGCTGCTTGTGCGGTCCGGCGGACGGCTTGGGCGCCCAGCGACCCCTCAGCTTGTCCAGCATCCAGTGCGACGGTGCGAACATGCGCTTCAGGTGCTTCTTGGGTCCGCGCGCCATGGTGCCTGGAGAGAAACGCGCGCCGGATGGCCGCGCTGGTGCACTGGCAGGGGTGCCTTCCGGTCTGTCACGGTTGCCTTCCCTTGGGCCAGGAGTGGCCGCGGGAGGGGGGGGAAGAGTAGGCGCGTCTGGGCTGCATACGGCGCGCTGCTGCTTCTGGCGACTGGGACGGGGGCGAGGGCGGTGAGAAAGAGGAGAGTTGAGAGGAGAAGGAGCAGGCGGAGGAGGAAGGAGTAGAGGTGGAGGAGGAGGAGGAGGAGCAGGAGGAGAAGGTGAAGGAGAGAAGAAGGAGCAGGGAGATGATGGGGAAGAGGATGAGGACAAGGGCGAGGAGGCAGGTTCACGACCGTCGCCGGACGGGGGGCGACGGTGCGGCTGGGGGCCGCTGGGCATGGAGTGTGCCACGAAGGGTCCACGCATTGCCGCGCTTACTGTCTGGACGAGTGGGGGAGCGCCGCCCGCATCCGTCCTCCCAAGAGGATCGAGCACCTCCGTTTTGGATTGCACAAGGAGGACACCATATGCGAACCCTTGCCCCACATCCCCCCCGAGAAATCGTGGGCTTGTGGGGTAGGGTTCGCATGTGGCCACCGCGAATAACCCTCCAGGGTGCAAGACAAATGCCTCCAGAAGGGAGGCCGAACCTTCCAGCGGGCGCCTGCTGGGCCAGACAGCGTCCGTGCGCGCCCGCACGACCCCGCCAGCAGAGAAAGGCGAGGTTACTGCGCCAGACGCGCCACAACGCAGATTCGGGGTGTAGGTACGGCGTTAGGCGTGTGCAGTTCTGCCCTCGTAAACATTGGAGCCCGAGTCATAGTCCAATCCAGTCCAGTCCAGCCTTTCGCCCCCTCCTCCTCCACCTCCTCCTCCGACCTCGCCGCCTCCGCCTCCTGCTCCTCCTCCTCCTCCTCCTCCGACCTCGCCGCCTCCGCCTCCTGCTCCTCCTCCTCCTCCTCCTCCTCCTCCTCCTCCTCCTCCTCCTCCTCCTCCTCCTCCTCTTCCTCCTCCTCTTTTTTTCCTCCTCCTCCTCCTCCTCCTCCTCCTCCTCCTCCTCCTCCTCCTCCTCCTCCTCCCCCTCCTCCCCCTCCTCCATCGTCCTCCGGCTTCCCCCACCCGCACAGCGTAGCCGCCACGTTGGAGGGCCGATGCCGGCTGTCACCTCGCACTTGCTTCAAAGCCTGTGGGACCCAGTCCCAGCCACGGAGTGGGGCACGCGTCCCCAAGGTGATCTGTCCGGCAAATATTTGATTTGTTGAACATCGTTTATCCGCCCCCTATCCCCAACGGCGCGGACTGGGAACATAGCCTGCTCCCTACCCTGCCCCCACCAGGTTTCGAGGGATACATGCCCAACTGGGGTGATGAAAAAGTGGGGGTCTGGATGGGGATGGGGATGGGGATAGGGGTCGGTATATAAGGATCCTGAAATCTGGGCCCAGACCCGGACTTCTCATATTTGATTCAAGAGTTTGAATCACTTTTGCGGCCCCAGGCTGAAGCAGGGGGCCGACAATTGGTTCCACAGGAGGTATACCCGCAGCCTGCAGTCGTGTTCCAAAGGGAGACAACTGTCAGAATGATGTTATGTATGGCTGTTGGTGGCAACTGGCCCCGACAACGAATAGTGGATGAGGTAGATAACAAGATCTGCCCGATTCGCCCGGGTTGTAGAGGCCGCAGGCCCCAGAGACTCCCTTGCATCGGGACTGGATATGTTGGGTACGACGGCTTCCGCAGCCCTTCAGTCCACAGCATGCCCTCCACATCCCTGATCTGGGCACCGATTCGGGGTGAGCTGGCACGGCTACTTTTTGGTTGGCGGCTCCAGGACAAAGGTCAAGAAGCGGGATAAACGACTGGGGCACAGGCCGTAGATAATTGGCCAAGGCGGCGCGCAGGCCGCCGCAAAGGCAAGTGCACGTGCAAGGGACAGAATGACCCACATTAGAGGTGATGCAAGGGACAAAATGACCCGAATTGAGCACCGCGGACCGACGCCGACATCCCGGCGGGTGGAGACGCCACGCCGCGACGTGCAGCGGCAACTGCGGCCAGCGTGGAGAAGTCGCACCAGCGTGTGGGAAACACGACGCAGCGAGCGGCGGCAACGGCTGTACGGCTAGGCCACGTGTACTGTAGCAGCGCGGGGAAGTCGCCCTGTCGGCGCCAAACTCCGGCCGAACGACAAACGGAAGCGAGGCAAAGAGGGGGGCAAGAGAGCCGCTGCGGACGCCAGACGGGCACCCAGCGCCAGAAAGAAAGGGAAAAGCGGCACAGAGAGGGGCCTCACTCACCATAACTCACTGTCGCAGAACTCGGGTATGCCCGCCCTTGGACACGGGAGGGAGGGCGACCCAGTCAGCGAACACGAGGTAACGCCACTTCCAGCCTGTGGCCAGTGCGTACACAACGTGTCCGACTCTCGCGGTTCGGGGGCACAACGTTGCAAGCGCTGGCAGAGGCAGATGCGACACGGGTCGGCTGGGGGAGCGGCCATGTCCTGCCGAAGGATGAACCACTCGTGCAAGACCACTCCCTTGTGAGGTCCGTCATCATGTAGCACCGGAAGTGAGGTTAGAGAACACGCCTATGTCCACCTTACACGAAGCCGAAGCGACGTCCTTGTGGTAGCGCCATGACCAGTTCCACGTAGATCAAGGCGATACGCAGGTGGGGGTGGCACTGCCTGCCGCTGAGCGCGGCGTCCACGGGGAAGGGCTGATCCCACTCCACAGCAGCATCACGATAGCGTACGCAGGCTGACAGCCAGCTCATAGCCAGCAACCACATCATATCCGGCCCGCGAAGTCTGGGGGCCCACCAATGTGATGTCCTGGCGAGGGCAGGGCGTGTGGCTGCGCCGGGATGAGCAACCACCTGTCCGCTGTGGGCTGCACCACGCGATACAGGCCGCTCGGACGGCGTGGTGCATGGTATCAACCCCATCCACCACCTGCCACGATGCCCCTGCGGAGAACGGGTGCGTCCGTGGCTGAGGTAGGCAGAACGTCGCCAGAAGCCTGTCCGCAGGTCAGTGTGCTGACCCGCTGGGGTGGTCGACACTGTCCGCTCCCAGGTCACGATGTCCTCTCACAACGCAGGGGGCGCAGCCAAGAGCCGCAGAGACTTGTGAATGAACGTGGGGGTGCATCCAGATGCCGCTGGGCACAGGTGCTGCGCCCTGGGCATCCACGCATGGCCCGAACCAGGGCGGAAGCACTTCATCGATCACAACACACTTCGCTGGGGGGCGCAGCCAAAAGCCGCTGGCACGGCTACGCGAAGCGTCTAGAATTAACTCCCACGCTTGCCGTCTAGCTGGCCTGTATGGGGCACAATTCAAGGGGGCAGCGCCGCACGTACACTTCACGAAAATTGTGTACCCTCTTTTGTTGCCGGAGCCCGTAAGAGGGTGCCGGAAGGCAGTGGTCTTCTGAGAAAGGGAATGCCCTCGCGTCAGCGCGGCCTGCGAGACGCGCTGGAAAATGCCCAACGGTCAGCGCCACAGCGGCCGCGTGAGTCTCACCAGACTAGCTGGCCGTTCTGCGCGCGACCTTGCGCGCGCTGGCGCGGCCGCAGCGATACGCCAGACAGCGCCAAGCAGTCATCGCAATCGCCGCCCCATAGGTTTTGCAAACCTAGTTGCGGGTGGGTGGGTAGGATGATTGCGCGAGCAATGGAGTTGACAATTCCAAGTTCAACTGAGCAAATTGTACCGCATAGATTGCACAAGATGGGTTGCACCACCTGGATTGCATAAACTAGAATGCGCAACTTCGATTGCACCACAAAGGTTGCACAGCATAGATTGCACCACATAGGCTGCACAGCATACATTATCCTTTCTAAAAAGAGAATAGACTCTACCCCGCCCAGCCTCGAGACTACCCCATCCCCTTTTCGTGTTGCAATTTACATACGATTCTGCACCATCGTCCATCCCAGAGGGGGGGGGCGGCACCAGTTCCCCCCGCCATCCTCTGCGAAAAAGCTATGCGCGCAGACTCGTTTATCAAAAACCATATACTCTCAAGAATTCGTTGCAAAAAATGGGACGCAGTGCGCACACGCGCGAACCGTCGCGCGCGCATGCCGAAATCCTTTAAAACCCTCGGTTCCGTAAGGGTTCCAAAATCGAGTGCCCGAAAAACATATAAAAACACAGGGTTTCGCAACACGTATTGTCAAACAAAAAAAGTCCGTGTGCGCACGCTCTTGCGAGTTCTTCAGGAAACCATAAGTTGTTCAACATGTTCAGAGAATGCCATTCGGGACTTAGGGTCTTCGTATCTTAGGGTCTTCGGGACACCGGATCTTCGAGTTTGCGGGCATCAGAGCGTTAGAGCCTTCGGGTCTCAAAACCTTGGGGCCTTAGGATCTGAGGGTCTTAAAGCCTTAAGGCCTTAGGGCCGTAGGATATTAAGGTCTTAAGATCTTTGGTGTGTTAGGCTCTTAGCTGTCAGGGCCTTTGGGTCTCAGGGCCTTGGGGCGTTAAGATATTTTGGCTTTTAGGGTCTTAGGGCCACAGGAGCTTAGGGCTTTGGGGTCTTAGGGTGTGAGTCCTTAGGGCCTCAAGGTGCTAGACTCGTAAAGCCATAGGGCCTTCGGGCCTTAGGGTCTTAGGGTACTAGGGCAGTCGGCGTGCTGGTGTTAGGATAGCATGTATTAGGGTCTGAGGGCATTAAACTATTAGGTTTTAGGGCCTGAGGGCCGTAGGGTCTTATGGTATTAGGGCATCATGGTACCAGGTTCTTGGCGTATTGGTGTACCCGGTGTCAGGGTCTTAGGTAGATAGATCAGGGCATCCGGGTGGTATGGCCTTATGGCAATATCCGTGCATCAGGGTATTAGGGTATTCGGGCATCAGGGTATTAGGGTGATACGGTACTATGGCATTCGGGTATAAGGCGTTCGCTTGTTAGGGAATTAGACAATAAGTGTGTTAGGGTCTGTGTATTAGGGTACTCGTGTATTCGGGCGTTCGCGTGCTAGTACATTCAGAGTATCAAGGTGTTCGGGTGTTCAAGTGTTTGGGCATGATGGTATTGAGACATCAGGGGGTTAGGGCATTGGGGTATCAGGGCATCAGGG